TGGTACTAATTTTTGGCAAATTTGAAGCTATAATAATTAAGTTTTATTTAAGTGGCTTTCAAGATAATCTAAGGCTTGTTATTATATGTCAGGTTTGGAGTACTCAGAGAAAAGAAAGGATAGTTGTTTCATAAAGGTGCAGCCTTGGATACAGGGGAAATTACAGGATATTGGAGATGCCAGGATCATAGGCTTTCTGCCAAAGATAACAATAGTAGGTTTAGATTAGAGGCCGGATGAAACTACTGTGTGCTGAAGGTATCAGAACTAGAAAAACAGATCTGTCCAAGCATTTTGAAGCTTAGAACATGTTGATAGAGCCTAAGATTTCAGGTATTGAGCTGAAAGATTGGGAGTTACACTTCTGGACCTTGATTGGCTCATGTATAGTTGTTTTCATGACCTTGTTCTTCTTTTAATTAATAAAAAATATTTTTCTGTTATTGAAATTAGATGTTTTGCACATATAGTATATCCTGATTATAATTTCTCCTCCCTCTGCTCCTCCTAGTTCCTCCCCACTTCTCCTCCCCACTGCATCCACTCTCTTTCTGTATCTCATTAGAAATGAACGGGCTTCTAAGAGATAACAACAAAACATGACAAAATAAAAGTATAATAAGATGAATCAAAAGCTATCCAATAAAGTTGGACATGGATAACCAATGGGAGTAAAAGTGTTCCATGAATCAGAGACAAGCTCATTCTTAATATCAAGAGTCACATGAAAATACTAAACTAAAAGATTCTGTATAGATGCAGAGGACCTGGTACAGACTGGTGTATATCCTTGGTTTGCTGCTTCAGTCTCTGTGAATCCAAATGCACTTTGCTTTGCTGATTCAAGGAGTCTTGCTTCATTCTCTCTGGCTCTTACATTTTTTTGAGTGGCAATGAAGACTTCATGAAATTATTGAAAATGTTAGCATTTAAACTATTCATGTGTTTATATAAGAGTTACACAGAACCTTCGTGTCATTGGGGGAAAATATGATACACACGATGAGCCTAACAGTGGAGCAAATAAAACCAGACTTGAAATTTAAAAAAAAAAAATTTTGGTTGTCCTAGCCACATTAGAAATGCCTATAATTCCTGTACTCAGGAGGCTAAGGCAGGGGGATCAGGAGTTTGAGGCCAGTTTCAGCTATGTTGCAAGTTCAAGGCCAGCCTGATCTACCTCAAACACTCTAAAAAAAAGTGGCTGTTGTTTTTATTTGTAAGGAGATGGGTTTTCCTGTGTAACAGTCCTGGCTACCCTGGAACCTGCTTTATAGGCCAGGCTGGCCTTGAACTCACAGAACTACCTGCCTCTGCTTCCCAATGGCTGGAATTAAAAGAGAGTAACAATATATAGTTGGGTTACTGTCTGAAAATAGACTCCTTTCTCCTAAACGCTGGGAAGGGGTGTCTGAGTAGTGAAATTAAGCCACCCTCACAGTGACATTTTTTTCTGCCTTTTTCATACCAGTAACAGAACACCCACGGGCTGGGTGGTATTGCCATTCTCCTTTAATCTTGGCTCTTATATTCTTTCTGCTTCCTATTCTGAGGGTGTTCTATGATCTCTGAGGAGAATGATATGATGAATACCTCCTATTTAGACTGTCTCTTTGCATACCATCTGTGTGTGAGTCTCTGCATCTGTTCCCATCTACTGAAGAAGGAAGCTTCTCTCATAAGGCACTGACCTATATATGAGTATAGAACTATATCATTAGGAGTAATTTTATTGATATTTTTTAAGGGTAGTATGTTTAGTTTTGCTAGAGACTTCTGGGTTATCTATTTTCTGGTTCTTGGTTACACAAGCAGTGTCAGACATGGGTTTCCTCTCATGGAGTGAGCCTTAAGTCAAATCAGTCATTGGTTTACTACTATGGTAAGTTCTGTGCCACCATTGCCCTAACATTTTACAGGTAAGACATATTGTAGATCATAGGTTTTGTGGTTTGATTAACATTTAAATATCTCTTTTGTTAGTCTGCGGAGTACCTTCCTGCAAGGATCCATGTAAACATCTCCTTGATTTCTCCATGTTCAATGAGTTGTGTGAGTATTTTCCTTGGCAATTGACTCCACTGTAAATTTTCAGAGAACTACACTTTGTCTTACCAACAGCCTGGGTTGTATGGGGATTTCCATAGGACCCCTTTGCAAACAAATCAATTGAATGCAACCCAGTCTCACTACTGGAATACTCTTTTGGTGACGAGATGGCCAGTTGAGACTCCATATTCTTCATTATTAGTAGACCTCATTATAATAACCCGTATATATTTTAAGAAGTTTGTACTGCACTATAGCATCGCTCAAATGGCCCTTTCAATACTACTGTCCCACACTTCATTATCTCACTCTACCATATTTCCTCCTCACCTGATCCTCCATTCCTATTGCCACAAAATCCCAGTTTGTATTTAAAATCTATTCTATTTCCCCTTCCCATAGAGATGAATGTTTCTCCCTAGAAACTTCTTCTTTAAAACCTCTCTGTCTACATATTGTAAATAGGCTATTCTCACACATAAGAGAATATACACCATATTTCTCTTTCTGGACCTTGGTTACCTGTATTATTTAGAAGTATGTCTTTTGTGTTTCTAATCTTCTCAGGACATTTATAATGAAGGTGGCTTTTCTGTGATGCTTATGTTTCTTTTCCAGTTTTTTATATGAAGGATAACATTTACTGATTTTTGTGTGTTGAATTCTCCCTACATTTCTGGGATGAACCCTACTTCATGGCAGTCTTAGTGAATCATCTTTTTGATGTGTTCTTGAATTCTGTTTGTAAATACTTTATTGAGTACTTTTTATCTAGGTTCATAAGAGAAATTAATTTTCTGTATTTCTCTCTCCATTTTGGATTTTTGTGTGGTTTGGATTTCAGGGTAATTGTGGCCTTGTAAAATGAATTGGGGAATGCTGCCTATATGTTTTTCTGTGGAATGACTTGAGAAACATTGATGCTAACTCTTCTCTGAACGTCTGATGGTATTCTGCAGAAATTTATCTTGCTATCAAGCTCTGGGTTTTTTGGGTGGGAGACTTTGAATGACTGATTCTCTTTCACTAGGAAATATAGGTCTGTTTAAATTGAGGTTATAGCTTGATGCCATGTACGGGTTTAATGATCAGAATGGTGAATATACTGTCACATTCATTAAAGTTTATAATCTGTTTAGGTTGTGCAATTGCTGGTGTGATTTATGAAAATATTTGAATATTATCATTGTAATATGTTATATATAATATTGGCAGTCCTAGATTCATAAGGGCTTTGAGGGCTAATGCCATGGACCAGTCAGCAAAGTATTTGCCATGAGAAACTTTGTCTTATTCCCAGCACCAAAGATTATATGGGCATAGTGGTTTCTGTCTGTATTCACAAACTTGAGGTGGAAAAAGGAGAGTGCTGGTAAACCTCTGATATTGAATTAGGAGAACACCACATCCCATTGAAAGAAAAATGAAGTCAGGTCCAAATGAAAGAACATGCAATGTCAATACCTGGCCTTCATATGCATATGTACACATGTGAATGCACAAATGTATAAATACACACACACACACAAAGTGATAGATATATGACAGATAGAGAGAGGAGTGAGATGAAAGGAGAGAGAGAGAGGGAGAGAGAGAGGGGAGAGAGAGAGATAGAGAGAAAGAGAGAGAGAGAGAGAGAGAGAGAGAGAGAGAGAGAGAATGAATTGGACTCTCTGGGTTTCACATACCTATATATAGTTTATCATATTTAATTTACAACTTTTGGTTATATATCAGCAATTTTCTTTCTATTTTGTATTCTTGGTTGTGGAAACATGATCAAAACAGTAACAATAGTGAAAACATACCAAATACAATACCATTTTTTGATTTGAAAGATGTTAAGTTGTCAAAGATGATCAATGATGTACGATAGTAAATACATAATACATATTGTTGAATTTATTCATTCACTTACCTAATGAACTTTTAAATGGAGCATATATCTTTAAGGTGAATTACATTAACATATAAATTCTGTGATATTGAGTTTAAAAATGAATTACCTTTAACCAGGAATACTGAGTATAGCCAACCAACAGATGATATGTTTTTCTATGTGAATATCTATTTTTGCCATACTACATAATAGAGATGTAGAATCTGTAGTCAGATAATTATACAGAATAGGATGAAAATGTCTTTGATTCTGGAAATATGGAAATGAAATTTGAAAAATTACATGACCTTAGGCACAGAAAATACTGAAGAATGTGAAAAAGACTGTTACAATAAGTACAGTAGATTTTCAAGATACAGTATCAGACTTAAAAATAAATAACAGACACTACCAACAAATAATTGGAAAAAGAAGTCAAGAAAATGTCATAGTAGATATATCTAAAAAATTGGAACGTATGTATCTGATATTTAATGAATGAGATATTTATGAAGGTAATTGAAGAACTCAATAAATGTTGAAGTATCTCATTCAATGATGAATAAATATTTATCAATGTCTGTGTACCTGAAATCACAGACAGTGGTAAGTATATAATATTATAAAAGTATTTATGGAATTTTTTTCATTTTTTAAATTATTTTTTCATTTTCCATCCAACCCAAGTGCCCCTCTCCCCCCCTCGTCCTTCCCCCTTCCACTTCTTCCACACATCTACTCTTAAAATCCAACAGAGCCTGGCATGCCAAGTTGAGGCAAGCCCACACCACCCCCCAGTATCAAGGCTGAGCATGGTATCCCACCATAGAAAATGGGCTACAAAAGGTGAGGTCATGAACCTTGGATAGGTCCTGGTGTCACTGCCAGGGGTTCCCATAGCAGATCAAGGAGCATAACTGTCACCCACATTTAGAGTGTCTAGTTTGGTTCCATGCAGGTTCCCCAGCTGTCAGTCCATAATCCATGAGCTCCCTCTAACTCCAGTCAGCTGAGGAGGTATATCTTTAAAGTCAACCAGGAATGGACATTTATTAGCAACTTGAAGTCCTATTCATTTGAAGATCCCCTTTTTTTCAAGTAATTTTTTGATTGCATTTTTCACATCCTTGTTTCTGAAGCTGTAAATAATTGGATTCAACATAGGAAAGACAACAGTGTAAAACAGAGCAACTACCTTATCAGTGTCTGGGGAATAGCTAGTGGTGGGACGCAAGTACATAAACAGTAGTGTTCCATAGAACAAGGTGACAGCTATGAGATGGGAAGCACAGGTGGAGAAGGTTTTGCCCCTCCCTCCTGAAAACTTGATGCTCAAAACAGTGATGAGGATGTAGAAGTAAGAGATAAGGATGACCATGAAGGTGCTCATCTGGATGGTGCCACACAAGGCAAAGAGAAGAAGCTCATTAATATAGGTATCTGCACATGATAAAGCAAGCAGTGGTGGGATATCACAAAAAAAGTGGTTGACAATATTGGAACCACAGTATGGAAGCATAAATGTGAGGGACACATGCACCAATGAGGTCACACTTCCACTGAAATATGCCAACATTACAAGACTGAAACAGACCCTTCGAGATACCAATGTAGAATAAAGTAGTGGGTTACAAATGGCTGCATAGCGGTCATACGCCATTGCAGCCAGGATAAGACACTCTGCATCTGCAAAGCATGCAAAGAAAAACATCTGTACAGCACATCCATAGAAAGAGATGCTTTTCCTGGAAGCTAAGAAATTTACCAGCATTTTGGGAGCAATGGCTGTAGAATAGCTTATATCTAAGAAAGACAAATTGCTAAGAAAGTGATACATGGGGGTTTGAAGCCTTATGTCAATATTAACTAAGGTTATTAGGCCCATATTTCCAACCACAGTCAATGTATACACTATGAGAAACACCAAGAACAGAATGAATCTGAATGGCAGATAATCTGTGAATCCAATAAATATGAACTCTGTTGGCCTGGTATAGTTTATGTGATGCATTTTCATGGGCTTCTTGCTTTTCTCATTGGCAGTCAATAATATCCAGCAATATGAAATTACCTCGGTGATGAATGAACCATGGCCCTTGTTTTCTCTTCTAACGAAGCAAAGAGGATACAAAAAAAAAAAACAATAAAAACATATTGATGAGTCTTTCCACTCTCATGGAATCCTCATTAACTGCTTGGTATTTTATTATGCATTTTGAGACTAAAGAGAGAATAATTAAATACATGGTATTTGAAAAAAAAGGGAAGACTACTTTAGCAGAAGGAAGAGATCAATAGAGGAGAATGATGGATAAGAGCAAAAGCATAGAGTTGAAGTATCAAAGTGTTATAATCAGACCCATGAGTTTGTGTGTTAAATTAAAATTAACTAAATTAAATTAGATTTTATTATATGATTCTTCTTATTACTTGTTTTCAATGGAAACTGAGAAGTTACTCTTGATTTCTGAATGATATTATTTAGATGGTGATGTATCTTGAGGCAGTAATGCTCCTGGTAAAGGTTTGCATTTTCATCACTTTAATATGAGATTATGTTGGGATCACTTTTGAGATTGGGGAAATAATGCAAGTTTTAAAAAGTTTTTAGAGATTCAGCTGTACCTTTGGGTTCCAAAATTCAAAAACTCACTGATTGACAAGTGAAGAACATTATGGAAATGTAATTGGTATATTGTGATTTAAATAATAATTATGGAACTTCTGTGGGAAAGGAGTAGAAAACATAATACAAAAATGTAGAACATAACAAGTATGCGCAAGTTGCCAGATTTGAATCTTGGCTCTGCTACTTAGTGTTTTGTAACCTTAGTATCATCACTTAATCATTTTGTGATAGAGGAAACTATGATTTGGTGGGCATAAAAGACATTACATGAACATTTTACAAAAAAAAACATCATAATTTAAGAATAGAATAAAACAACATGTTTTATTTCTAGTTTTCTTGTCTCAATATTTTGAATTATCACAGAAAATTCTTAAATTAGTTTTAGTCTGGTTTTATGGACCTCTCTTGTTTTCTGATGGTTTGTAATTACTAGGGTTTAAATGATAGAGATATAGGGATATAGGGTTATAGACCCAACATTGTACAACATATTTACATGGACTACTTAGCGAAGTAAGTAAAACACATGGGAAGGACACATTTGTTTTTCTTTGGATATAAAAGTCACATATGTTCTTTAAAGGATAAGACGCAGACTCTTGCAGCAGAGAAAAATCTAAGTTAAAAAAATTCTTAGGTTTGTTTAGCAATACTATAATTATAGGTAAAGGTAGATAAGAAATAATTAAGTAACACTGGTTCCATGAAAAAAAAAGAAACTATGGGCATTGTCTGTCATTAGTTTCTAAAAATGTGGAAACTCAGATTCCTTCTCCTGTCACTAAAGTAAATAACAGATGATGCAGGTGATGCAGGGTGTTGGGTGTCTTTGTAATTGTCACAGGTGAGCCTATCTTAGGTGTATCACACTGTCTTCTTAACCACCATGAAGACTGACTCTCAAGGAATCAACAAGGGTGCCTATTATCTAAAGCACAAGCATTAGGTTTGTAACATTGGACTTAGAAATTTTCCTGCTATGTCAGGGATTAAAACACTTACCTCAGCACCATCTAAGACCTTCAACAGTGGAAACTATTTTGAGTTAGAGGCAATATGTGTCCCCAGGTTTAGAAGATGAGTCTTGTAGGAGATAACTATTTATCTTGCAGTCCATGACAAGTGGGACATTATCCTGGGGTAATTGCCAGCCCCTGAGGACAATTCTGTGGGCAATTACTATTTGCAGAGATGTGGCTTAGCTGACTTCTCTTAAATGAAATGAAGAGTGATCACCTGATTGACTCTTGGGTAGGAATAACATCACACTTGATTACAAATCTTAATAGCAGAAAGAATTACTTTTTTGGATGTTTCATATTACCCATGTCAGACTTCTATACTTTCTGTGAGTATACATTGTGACTTCAGCTACTGCAAGAGCCTTAGAAGTATGCAGGTATATGAGGAAAACACAAAGTACAAGTTCAGTGGTATTTGGAAAGTCACTGTCTAGCAGGCTGGACAGTTTTATTTGCCAGTTAAAAAATTAAATATAAAAAATTCTTGAGTATAACATGTAGCTGCAAAGAAAAATTTTCAGGCACAATAGGATGAATAAACAGTTCAAAATCATTTTTAGGTTAGTTCTATTTCTGGAGGCTTTGGGCTCTAATTTTGAAGTAAAGAGTGTATTCATAAATAGGGACTTACTTTCTACCTCAGTTGGTTACCAAAGGAAAAAGCAATAAGCTGTATGTGTGGGCATCTCTTTGGCAGCACTGTTCAACAACTCAACAGAGGGCTTATTATGTCTGTCATTGGGGTTTTGGTTTGGTAGTCTTTAGTTCTTGGAGAAAGCACTATCAGCAAAGATAAAAAGGTTCACCTGAATGACCCCTTCTGAGAAGATATCATAAAAGCTTCCAAATGAGTGAGGCAACCATCAGTTTTACCCATCTGTGACACCTATAAACCACAACAATGACCAGCACGGCAGGACAAGCTTAATTGTACAGTATTGCACACCTTGGTAGTAACCCACATGATTCTAATTAAATTTAAATCTGCTCAACAAGGGGATGTAAAGCCTGGTTCTAACTAACTGCATACTGCTTGAGAAGTAATGGTTATTGGAGGAGAATCTACAATCTCAAATTTACTAAGTTAAGATAATCCCTAAAACATTATATAAAAATTTGTCCTTCTGCAACAGGTAAGTATAGTCTTCATTCCTCATCAAAGAAATTTCTCATTCAAACAGATGGGGACCACTACAGAAAATTGTAACTAACAAAAATGCAGGCTTGTGGGGCCCAGTCCTAAAGGACATATAAAAATCAGCCCCTCACCTGAGGCTCAGGGAACATTGAAGAAGAGAGGATAGAAACATTATGAGGGCCATAGGATGGGGAGGGTTTGCTTTGAGATGGTGTCTCCTAGTAATACTAGAAGCTGCACACATAAGGTTTGACTGAAATTACCTATCACACATTAACTGATCATGGATAACCCCAGCAAACATGCCAAACTGGCCAGAGAAAGCTTCAAGTCTACACAAAAGACTGAGTAAAGGCAATTGAGTATAAAGCTAGGAGCAGAAAAGGTAGACGGGAAGGTTGATGGGGAAAAGGAAAGGGGGGAAAGATGTAATTATATTATAAATTCAAAAATTAAGATAAATGAAAAGTTTTGGTGAACTGGAGTGGGTGTCTCCTTTCTTTTTCCATTAATTTATGGTTGGTCAGTTTAGAAAACTAACAAACAAACAAAAAAAGAAATCAAAGTCATAAGACAACAAGAGGGGGTAAGCATGTAGTAGTCTAGATTTGAATTTGTCTCACCATGCTTGCCTGGTGGCTCACTAGCCAACCTTACTGGGGGTGGGGTTGAGAAGATGGGGAAAAGATTGTCCAATCTATCTCTCAGGACAGGAAGTTGAGGGAGATTGTTATCTATCTGCACCTTTTCGCCATCTGTGCCCCTGTCAGGGATCTGTCTAATTCCTAGAGTTTCAAGACTGGATCCTCTCATTTGGGTTTGTTTCTCAACTACCTAGGTGATCTTGAAATTTAGATGATGGTGAAATAACAGATGACAAAGGCGTCCAATACTTGAATACTATTTTTAATTTGGAGAATGGGGATTTTATTTTGTCTGATGTTGACAAATCATTAAATTCTGAGCAATAATTGCTACTTCACCTTCTAAGGGCTTTGAAAGTGCACACAAGTGTCCAAAATCTTCAGGGGTTGGTCTTGATTTATAATTCTTTGCTTTCAATAATAGGCATCCTTCCCAATAATATAAAATGATATAAATGGCAAGATTAATTTTAAAATCCTTTAATGCCAACAAGTATGTGAAACTGAATTAAGGAGAAAAACTGTAAAATGGGTAGGAAAGTGACTCAGGGTAAATAATGCATTTCATTACACAGTAGAAAACCTGAAACTAGATGTCTCTCTACAAGATGGATTTCTCATTTAATAGACCCATGCAGGTAGATAAAAGATTATCAATGATTGTGAAATATGAAGAGCCATAAAATAGCTCAAAAGATTTCACATAAGAAGGTGTTCAGGAGCTGCCTTTTACTTTGACATGAAGAGCTCTGTGGCATACAGAGGTTGAGCATACCTATTTCACATTTACTACACAGTTGCAACAAATGTGATTCTAATGTAAACATAAAATGTGATTTTAATGTATAGATAACTCTTCTGCAGTTTTCCAGTAGTGAAGATTGATACATGTAAAACTTTTGAGTTCTTTTCTTTTTTTTTTTGTTTTTTCAAGACAGGGTTTCTCTGTGTAGCTTTGGAGCCTATCCTGGCACTCGCTCTGGAGACTAGGCTGGCCTCTAAGTCACAGAGATCAGCCTGCCTCTGCCTCCCCAGTGCTGGGATTAAAGGCGTGCGCCACCAACGCCCAGCTGAGTTATTTTCTTTATGAATTTTAGTAGATGAGTATGTCTGTTAATGATGACTACATCATCAGAAGTCAGAGAACAGGACCAGGACAGTGGTTTAGCAGATAGAGTGCATGCTATGTGTCATCACAGCTTGTATGTTATTCCAGATGTTGTGCAAAAAGCTGAATGTGTACTATATATCTGAAGTCCTAGTATGCCTAAGGCATAAGTGGGAAAAATTTCATGAATTTTGGTGCCCAGCTGTCCTGAAATATACTGTCCAGTTGGAGGAAATAAATCCTGTGTCTACAAGGTACACTATGAGAAAGGATTTCTGAAAATTTTGGTCTGACATCCACATGTGTACCATGTTTTGTGTGCTATGTACATGCACACACACACACACACACACACACACACACACACACACACACACACACTAAAATAAATAACTACATATTACAAAACTGTGCCTGGTGAACTTCAGGTAACTTGTAATCTGCATAGTTTGTTTTCTTTTTTTCAT